TTTGAAAATGAGTGAATGATCCCTGTGGCTTTTTTAAGGAAAAGTGTTCTGAGCAGAGGGAAAAACCAAGGCCAGATTCCCTGAATGGATTTGCTAATGTGTTCTAAGAACCTTGATGAGGCCAGTGTGGTGAGCATGGAGTGAACCAGTGGGAGCAGTAACAAGGGTCCAGATTTGGAATGCCTTATAGGTGATTGCTACTGCCTCAGCTTTCACAGAATATGGTATGAACCATACATAACTATAAATATTAGGCTGTAAAGGAAATGAATTTATGCCAAATCTACTCTAAGCTACACCATGAAGCTGGATATGATTTACCTTATATAACTATTCCCAGTTCTCTCAGATACAAGTAAGGGTAAACTGTGCTCTTTAAACAATCTCTATACTTCACTGTGATCGATCGTTTGGAAGAAACGATGCAGGTAGGTCCCAAAGATAACAGAATAGAAATGATCAGGTCTTAAAATGGGTCCTTGCTGAGCACAGATTTCACTTTTGATTGCTGAGTGATGTTCTGGTTATCTATTCATTGCCTCTCGGCTCCATAGCCACCCTTCATTATCTGCTCCGCTGTAATGGAGTTAGACCCTCCAAGCGTTTCTCCTTTGTACATCTTAAAATTAAACTTTGTCAGTAGAGGGCACTAAAGCAACACTGCAGAAGGAAAAGGGTTTCTCTTCCTGGTTCTGGTATGATTTGGTTTTGCTTTTTGCTTCTATTGCAAGAATGCCTGCATGGGAACACCCAGTGGCACTCTGCTTTAGCCACACACCCAGTGCATGCAGTCCAGGGCACCAGGTCCTTGCCATGACTGTCCCTGGGTTATACGCGGTCGCCAATGTACAGTTGGTCTCCTGCAGCTCTGCTGGTGAGCAGGCTCCAATACTCTGACTCCATTTGTGTGTGCACCAACCAGCCCTCACCAGCCTGTACCCTGAGGGAAGTTTCCTGCTAGTTTAGACAAATGTGGATCAATTCTGGTCTGGACAATTCAGCAGACTTCTCCACTATCTACTGCGCATCATATGGTAAGACCTGTGATGGAAGTGACAGAGTAAATGTAATAGGAAGGTCACGTACATCTGTCAGGGAGAGTTAGAGATGTTTTGAGTGTGAGAAAACCCTCCCTTTAAGGCCCACCCAGTCAAGAGTTGTTGTGTTGTTATCTTTGTATATAACACTAAATCTCAATACAAAAGATAATTTCTAAGGATGCTTAGTCTTGTTACAGACTGAGATACTTTGACTTACCCATTTTGGTTCCAGAACTATAATTTACTGGGAATCACTTGGTATTTGAATAATGAAGTCAACTTTTTAGATGCTTACTTAACACTCATGAAATTGTTCACTGACCAGATTCTGTTAATTGTAGGGAAAAAAAATAATTCACAAATTTGAAAGCGCATGTCAATTATTTAGTCATACTTTAATAAAATATTGGGGCAGGGAAAGCTCTCAATTTTATTTTATCACTAAGCCATATCTCTCCAGGGCACATATTTGCATATGGTTACAGTGTGCTAGCACAGATTCAAAACACCATACATTTGTTTAACTACTGCTTCTTTTAAATAATTAGTACTTAAAAGAGTCTAGCAATTATAGTTTAAATTGCAAATGGAAAAACATAGAGGTTCTATTTATCTGAATCTGTATTGTCTTAAACATCAGTGCTGGTAGAATTACTTTGCATTTAGCAGTCTTTTTTCTTATCATATAAATAATATATTAAGATATAAAACTGCCCACCTATACTGTACATGGTTATTATTCATTATGTTGTCCTTGGGAAGTCTGGTTCCTAAATATTTATTACTATGAACTCATCCAGTTGCTTTAATTCATGGGGAATATGTGGAAATCTTAATCTTGTTCTTTTGAAATGTGGCGAACCCTGGAATTAATGTGGTAGCTGAAGTAGGGGGAAGTTTAAACCACAATTCTTTTGCACAGGATCAATGGATCAGTTCCAGTGTAAACAAAGGTTGGTTTAGTCAAATTAGCCATCTGCCTCTGATGAATTTAAACAGTAATGTGACACATTTAGTACTGTAACAAGCTTTTGCTTATTTTTAAGTTTTTTTTTTTTTTTTTTTTTAAAGAGAGAAGGTAACAGTAGATAATAGCAGCCCCAGGTTTCCTCTTTAGATTAATTCTTGAACTGCATAGTAGCATCTTTCTTTCATGTACAACAGTTGGCAGAATTTGTAACGGTTGCACGTTTGAAGGAACTTCCATTTCTAGATGTTGCAGTTCTCAAATTTTTCCACAGTCACTTGACATCTTTTCAAAGTCTTTTTTTCTTCATGGATTAACCAGTTAAGTCTGCCATTCGTCCATGAAGTGGTCTGTAAGCTTTAGTTACATGCATGAATTTAGCGTCATATTTTGCTTTTGAGTAGACAGAAAGATGTCTACTTCTTTTGTTATGTGGCTAAATTTAGGGCAAGATTATGTATTTAGGGAAATTGGACTTCTGAAATCTCTGGATGGCGAGGCTGTATGGAATAGATGTGCTTAGTTATTAAAACTATTGGTGATTTAACCCATTTCCTGTTTAGAAAAAAACAGTGCAGCCTGCTGCCAGTGCTCATTTCTCAGAGCAAAGGGGAAATGGGTTAAGTAAAATCCTTTTACTACTTACACAGAAGTTAGTAGTAGTGCAACAGAGTGAGACTCTGTCTCAAAAAAAAAAAAAAGAAAAAGAAGTTAGGAGTAGTTCTGGAGTTCTGGATTGCTTGCTGGGTAATTTCCACTTCATTACAAACTCCCAATTATTTCTTACAATGGTATAAATATATTCTAGCACTTATTCTTCTCCATTGTTCCAACTGGTATGATGGTTGACTAGTGTGATTAACAAGTCAACAGAGGACTTATAAACTCTTAACTCTTAAGTGACAAAATGCTTGGAAACTCCCATCTGCTGCAGCAATGTAAGACTCACAATTACCTCCATGCTTCAGAATAGTCAGAACATAGGACAATTATTACTTATTCATTTCTTTTGCTAATACTTATGTCACCTTTGTACATACAATCCCCAAGATCACAGATGCGTGATATAAATACACAACCACCATCTGGAGAAAAAACATAACTTTAAGTTTGTTTTTAATGATTCATTTGTACATATTTCATTTGGTAATTTGTATTTGCTTGACAGTATCTTTGTGATAGATTAAATTATCCGCTCTAATTATTCACCCTACCCTACATCCACACCCATTGTTTTGGGTCTTTGTAGTTTCTCCACCTAGAGGGAGGGATCCATTTCTTGATTTGAGTTCAGCCATGTTACTTAGTTGGATCAATGAGATGTTAACAGATGTGGACACACTTAATGGCTTTCAAGGTATGCCTGGGCTTGCCCTCCTGGGTTCTGCTATTGCCGTGAAGGCTCAGTTAACCTGTTCCTCCAAGAAGTAGAAGAGACAAGTGAAGCCCGCTTGGAAGGCAAGACTAGCTAAGACCAGCCTAGACCAGCCAATCCCCAGCCAACTGGCCGACATGGGAGCGAGAATAAGCAATTGTTATTTTAAACCACTGAGTTTGTGGGTGGTCTGTTATGTATCACATTTGTGTCTAAAATTTTGATTGATTCAGTGGCTTTTATTATGAAGAACATTGCCTTTAGAACTATTGTACTGAAAGTTAAAGAAGATGAAAAATTTCAGTCTGCACCTATTTCATGTTTATTTGTATCCTCTTTTTTGTCTAAATTTATTTATATAAAACATCACCACTTCTAAGATCCATTATCTGCTTCTACTTTTAGCCTGTCACTTTATTATTGAAATGTAATCCTTCCCAACTCAGAGTCACTTCTTCCACGTCCTTTCTAACACAGAGCTGACTAAACCCTGGCCTGTAGTCTCAGGGAAAAATGGCAAACTCCTCACAATGACTGCCAGTTCCCTCTAAAGGTCTTTCACAAAAGCGACCCCTGCCTGACTGCTAATGTAAGACATGACATTACTTCCATTCCATTTAAACTGTTTGCATTTGACTTAATTTCCCAAAGTTAGGTGTTAACCTAAATAAACTAGTACCTGGCTTACATCTGCATGCCCAAGAGAGGAAAACAAAATGGCTCCTTCCGGAACAATGAATTTGCCCTAAAAAGGAAATTCTGTTTCTGCTCTTAGAACCATCAAAAGCAAGTAATTGTCCTGTTATATGGAAGAAATTGTGTAAGTGATATAAATGGAATGTATATAGCTGCTTTTTAATTTTTTTTTCATTTTGTTAGACAGGAATTAAAATATAGACTGAATACCCAACACATGGAAGCCCTAATGATAACAAATAGATTCTGAAGAAATAGAAGTAAAAAACATGTTGACATATTAAAATAAAACTTCACAATTCAGTTTCTAATTTTGAGACACAGTCTGGGTTTTCCTAGGATTTCGCTGAGTGGCATTCACAAACGACTGCTACAGGAGCAGCAATATTGTGTTCCCTCAGCTGTTTCCAAATGGATCTGTGAGACATTTAGGTGCTTCAGTTTCTCTCCAGATAGACTGGGAGTTATTGGGGAGGTTTCCATTATATGTTTCACTGTAGTTCTAAAATTTGTCACGTGTTATCTGATACTGTCTACCTTTTCTGCTTTTGGTGCCCCAATATATTCTCCAAAAGTTCCCACACTTGGTTCAGAGAGCCAGGACAACCTGTGCTTTTGAAGCTACTGATATGGTTAGGCTCTGTGTCCCCACCCAAATCTCATCTCAAATTGTAACCTCCACATGTGAAGTGGGGGGGACCTGGTGGGAGGTGATTGGAGCATAAGGGTGGTTCCCCCATGCTGTTCTTGGGATAGTGAGTGAGTTCTCATGAGATCTGATGGTTTCCTAAGTGGCGATTTCCCCTGGCTATCTCTCACTTGCTGCTATGTAAGACATGCCTGCTTCCCCTTCCACCAGGATTTTAGGCTTTCTGAGGCCTCCTCAGCCGTCCAGAACTGTGAGTCAATTAAATCTCTTTTCTTTATAAATTACCCAGTCTCAGGTAGTATCTTTATAGCAGTGTGAGAATGGACTAATACAGCTGCTGTTGTTGTTGGTATCAAAGCTATTGAATCTAAAGTCAGCCCTTTTCATTGTTACTTGATCTTTTATTGAAGCTATCAGCTTCTCCCTCAATCACACCTCTGCTCTGGGGTTTAAGTATTATGAGTTCATGAAGACGGGGCTATAAATCAACCCAAGTAATAGATGTTTCCCCTATTGTAAAGCACTCTTACCTAACCAAAATTAGCTCACTGTCTTTGAACTTCTATTGAGCCCCATGTCTCACCCATTGGATACTTGTTTTTCCAGTAGTTTTCTAAGTTATGTGAGGCTCCCTACACATATCCAGACCCATTTAATTACTATAGTGGAAAAGGTTTAGGCTGCTTAAACTAGGACCTCCTGTAAATTATAAAGAATATTTTATGGTAATGAATTTGACCTTTTAAGCTGCATTTATCATGATAAGGGAATGCCATATTTGTACTTTCTGCTTACTGTCTTTACTAATCAAATAACAGTATAATAATTACTGCTATTTAACAAATAGATATTTGGGACCTACTGTGTACGTATCTTTTACTCAACTCTGGAGCTAATAAAATGATCAGTAAGAAGTTATTTATTCTTTCTAAATAAGTATCCAGTCTACTAAAGACACACATATCCATTAAAAATACACAGGAATGATAGGAGGATGTCATGACACAGTCAGTAATGAGGTCACTATTCTCAAAATTCCAAATTATGACATAGGCATGATAGCATATGCTGATTTCAAATTATGTTCTCATATGTGGTGGTGTTTTGAGCCTTCTCCATATGTGTGTGGAGGCAGACAATACATGTGGAAAGAGACATCAGCTATTTCTGTATCTTCCAAGCCTCTTAGTCCTAGATGAATTTATGTAAAACGTTTGATCCAATATGTGTCTTTCAGATTGGAATTTTATTTATTGATCAATCAATAAATCCCAACATGTATACTAAGAATCAGCTGGTGGGTCTTCCACAGTGCTGGATATTATGGGAATGGAAGGGGAGACGAGAGGAAGGAAGACTAGAATGTATACAATGTGATCTGTACTCAGAGTTTGTAATCTGATTGGCACATGTCTCAGACATACGTTGCTTTCTTTCCGAGTGCTTATTTCTCCTTCTTCCAGCACCCTGACATTCCTTTGAAGGATTCATCCTGCCCCCATTCTAAGCTATGTGTAGTGGGAAGATTCGAGGATGCCACTGACTCACTAGAACCATCTCTGGTCTCAGTGATTGACTTAATGATGGATGTATGACCTAAATCAGGACAAGAAACCATCTCTGGTCTCAGTGATTGACTTAATGATGGATATATGACCTAAATCAGGACAAGAAATAAATAATCCCGGGACTAAGTGGAAGCTGTCAGAAAAGATGCTGACTTCAATGCAGGTGTCATATGGCAATTGGAGAACCAGGGCTGATGCAGCCATGTTGCTACCATGAGGGAAGGCATGATATTTTGGAGGCCATAGTATGGAGCCTAAGATGTAGCCTATTCCAAGGAAGGAAGAACAGGAAAGCATAGCAAAATCAGATCACTGATAACATTGTTTGAGGCACTAGATAAAGCCTCGAATTGAACCTAGTCAATACTACATCTGGATTTTAATTTGCTTGAGCTAATTATTCCCTTAAAAATGATTTTGAATTGGTTCTACTGTTACTGACCACAAAAGAAGTTTTAACTGATAAAAAGAAAAAAAAATATTCAGTGGTGTGACTTGTGGAAAAGAGCTCAGTAGCAAGAAAATAGAAGGAAGTAGTATCACTGAAAATCACAGATTAATTTTAATACGATAGTGCAAGGAGGTGAATATAATGTAGTGGAAATACACTAAAGTAGATTTGCTCTATCGGTCCCTGGAATTATTGGACTGGAATAGAAGTAAGGGCAGGGCTAGAGGTATGGACCTATGGGTAACTATTAAGATAACAGTTAAATTCATTAGAAATGAACTCATGAATAATAAACAGTAAACTGCAGTGGACTTAGAGGGGAAACTTTATTGTTAGGGCAAAATTGGTGGGTGAAACGATAAGGAAGGCAATAATAAAGAAGGAAAGACCAAGTAAGGAACTGTCAAGGTTATAAAAACCAAAGACAGAGAAACATTTATAATGCCAATTAAAATTGATAGATCTAATGCATTTCTTTAATGCTAATGACTGTAATCGTAATTGACTTGGAAGATGAAAACTGGAAATTTTTCTCTGCCTTTAAAGGGCTTGGTAATTAATCATAAATATGTAGAGACGAAGACTGCTGTTTGATGCATTTATAAGAGTCTGTAGCTCATCTCCCCTCACTTTGCACTGTTAACCTCAAATTATATGAAAGGCTTAGCACCCTTGTAAGGAGCTCCTCAGGTGGACTAGAGACTCCGGATGTGGTGGTTTCTGTCGAATAATCCTTATGGTGGTCTATTTTCTACAACATTTGCTTTGATCATACTAATATGTTTGTTGGTCTTTTCCTCATTAAATTATTTTCAGAATCTTTTTCCCTTGATGTTACAGACTTCTAAATATAAATGCACACAATTCCCTGAACCAAATAGAATGTTTTCAAATTTATATGATTTTTACTTATATAGAAATAAGTGCTACAAATAAGAAACCATTATTTCCTTAATTTCAAAGGGCAAATGCATTCAGTGTTGCAGTCAACATTTGACAAGTCTTTACCAACATGTCTTAAGTTTAAGGAAGAGTCTCCCCGACTAAGATGAAAGAATACTGCTTAGCTTAATGCTGTAGAATGACAACAGTGAACATGCCATGCTCCTAGAGATTAATTATTTAATTCTCATAACAATTCTATGTGCTGATTTATTATTATCTACATTTTACAAGCAAGGGGTTGAAGTTCAGATACGTTAAGTCACACATATAATAATATTACATTTTCTAATGGCTGCCTAAAATAGGTCAAATACTTCCTTTCTGTTTTAATATGAGTCATTGCTAGTATTGTCTTTTGAAGGACCATAAAACACATACAAATTTTATGTTATTATACATCTTATATACTCATTTTGAGAGTGATTATATTTGAAGTCTTTCTAAAAGAGAGATCCAAAATATTGTATCCTCTACCAGAATGTAATGTTAATTTCCGAGGTGTTTTTAAATCTTATATGGAAAATTAACTTTAGTTTAAAAACTTAAAGGTATGCAGATTACATGAACTTAATTTACTTATAATTTAGGTAAGGTGAACACTAGAAAAAATATTTGTTTTATTTTACCTATCAGTTTGATGTTGCTCATTCACGTTTCTAAGTAGCAAAAAATTCAAGTGAAAATGAGATTCGTCTAATGACTATGGCAAACAGGAATGGTGAAAAATGCTTGGAATTGTATACATGTCATACTCATACATATCCTGCAACTTCTAAAGAGTTTTCAGGAAAGTTTCTGACTGTGACATGCATAACAGCATTTAGTTAAACATGTAACTTACCCCTACCCATCAAAACAACTGTTTCTCCAGGTGTAGTTCTAGCTGACCATTCTCAGTATCTTTCATGAAATAAAATAATTTAGCAATTTAAATCAAGGGTTCAGAATGCTGGAGAAGAGTTATTTGTTAATGGTCACTAAGAATATTTTTAAAAATTTAAAAGGCAGATTTTTATCTTTCATTATCTTTACAAAGAATACATGTTTTTTCTTTATTAATATTTAATTAAATATCTTAGAATAAAATAACTAAAAGTGTATAATTGGACTGTTTGTAACACAAAGATAAATACCTAAGAGCATGGATACTTCATTACTCTGATGCGATTATTATGCATTGCATTACTATATCAAAGTATCTCATGTACCCCCAGGTAAATATATATACCTGTTATGTACTCATAAAATTAAAAACAAATTTAAAAAGTGATCATTGCTCATGATAGAATTTCTAAGAAAGGATGGAGTTGGTATCTGTCTGTGATTTATAGAAGTTTTTCTGGGATGGTTATCCGAAAATAAACTCACTAAAGTTATGCAGCAATGAGCTTTACTGTAGATGTAGTTTATAAAAAAGTTTGTAAAATCTCCCTTGACACTATAGGAGGTAATGATATATGGCTCTTTCCTAGAGAGTTTTCTGAAATTATTTTTTGGAATACATATAGTTTGTACTTGAGAGTAGATGTTTAGATTATTTTCTTGGTGTAGTAGATAGATTGTTTTACAAGGTAAAATATATTGATGATCTTATTCATGATTTTCACAACCAGATGCAAAAAGAGAATTCACTTAAGGATATGTAAAGTTAGAAGAGGATTATTTGATTTGATCAATTTGGTCTTAAAAAACTAATGCACTCCAAAGCAAGTAAATATTAATCTAATCAACACTTTCTGTTGTATAGATCATTTAAAAATCTGGTTAAATGTAACTTTAAAAACATTTGTTTTACTTAATTTTGTTTCCATAATATGTCTATACTTTTTGTGGATGATTGTTTTCTAGTCTGCAATTCTATTTGCAAATCTGCTGAAAATCTATTCTCAGGCAATGACAGAAGAGACTATGATCTTCTTTTATTCGAAGGTGGAAAGTTGCCATAAGTTTCCACAGCCACTGACCAAAGAACTTCCATATTTTGGATTCTTATCAATATGTATGATGACTGTTTGATGGGAGAATATATCATGCTGTAAACACCTGGAAGATAAGCTCTCAGAGGGCAGGAACAGCGTTTGTTTCATACTGCTTTATTCTGCATGCTAACATCATGCTCTGCCTATGACAAGTACTGATTAAATATTGATTGAATGAGAGCATGGTGGGTCAGAGGTGTGACTGTGTTAGCAGTGCTGTGTTTAGGTACAGGAGAAAAGCTTCTAGTGGACTTAGGCACTGAGAAGAACAGTCCTGACCTGGCCGCAGTTGTTGTGCAAAGGATGTGGTGGCTTTATTTGGCCTAAAGTTTTATGTGTGCTTGCTCTGAAATGTGGATACGAAAAAGGTCCAGGGTGATAGTATTCTGTATTATAACATCTAAGAAAGGAATCTTACTTTGTTAGCTTCGTGCTCTTGCCAGCATTTTCTGTTTCTGCCTTCTGTTTACTCCTTGCCCTTACTGTGTAAACATGTTCAAGTTTCTCCAGCATTAAAACTAAGTAACTTATTTGACTTTTACCCACTACTTTTCTCTCTTTCCTCTCTCTCATGTCCACATTATTAAGGAGGATAATTGGTAGTGGATGTCTTCAATTTCTCCTTTCTCATTTCCGCTTAACCTCTTTGCAGTCTGGCATTGCCACCACTGCTGCACTCAAAATAGTTCCATTGAAGCCTCTAAGGCTGATATTATGAGGGTCAAATGCAGAAGGTATTTCTAAGAAATTCTTGCTGCATTTGAGGCTTCTCCTCACATCCACTTCTCGAAACTCTATTCTCTTGCTCCAGAGACTCCAGAGTTTCCTCTTTTCTAACTACCCAACCTCATACACATCACTCCTACTTTATACTTTAGCTCTCCCCAAGGTTCTGCCCTCAGTTTTGAGCTCACTTCTGTTTTCGTGCACACATGCCTCACAGATAATCCTTTCCACGGCAAGCATTTTTAACACAACCTCTATAATAACTGTCTTTTCCTTTCTTTCCTACCTCCTACCCTTCCTTTTTCTATTCCTTCCATCCTCCTTTCTTTTGTTCCTTCCAAGAATCCATCTATAAAATTCTTGACAGATACACAACAAAACAATGGCTGTTTCCTAGTGGGAACCAAGAGATTGTGTCTAGTTTCTTTTTATAGTTTTATTTATTTTCTGATTTATTTTACAATGAATGTGAATTAGCTTTAAATTCAGAAGTAAAAAGCAAAGTTATTTCCAACTAGGAACAACCAGAAATAGTGATTATTCTCAAGAATAAATACCCTCTTGTATAAATAAATAAATACACTCTCCTGTAACCATCTCACACACTTGACCTTACCCTCTGTGTTAAGTGAAGTGAAGGGCAGGAACCATGTCTTAATCACCTTTGTAGGTTGTTCAGTATGGTGCTTGGGACTTAGTAAATATTCATTAAGCATACTGATACCGTGATAAGCTCACTACACTCTACAATTAAAATGACATTCTAAAATCTTGGGAGACGTGGGTGAAAACTCAAAGCAGATGGGGCTTGGGCCAACATTCTGGAGAGGAGAGTGCACCATGGTGATCTCAACAATTGTTCTACTTTTTTCTCACAAAAATCTGTCTATTTTCAGCAAAGAGAAGAGAGCCTGAGGAGGAAGTATAAAGTCAGACGCTTACAACAGACTTGCTGGATTGGAGAGAGAGAGACTTTTACAGCCAGAGCTGCCAAGTAGATCAGGACTTGGGGGTGAGGAAGAAATCTCAGAGAATAAACCAGAAATGATATACAGTAGGTGATTTCCTCTGAAGGCATTTTGCCAGTTCTTACACTACACAGCTGTAGGGTGAAACTCCTTGAAATCAAGCAGAAACCTGTTCCCAGGAGACCAAATAGCTGAGCAAAGGTATCACCAGTCCAGTCATCCTGGAGAGAGAGAATTTAGTTTATTGCCTAGGAAAGTGGAGTGGCCCTTTTAAATTCCACTAGCTTATGGTTTTGATCCCAAAAGTACCATGATCCAAGAATAAGAGCAAACTGGAAGAAAACACCATCTCTAACAAATCTCAAAACTCACACTTAACTGAAGATATCAGTACCTTACCTGTCTTCTAGAATAAAATAATATTCTATTTGGAGAAAAATCAGACCAACCAGAGGTTTTGTGCAATATCTTGTGTACCATATATAATATTCATTTAAAATTATCTGGCATGCTGATAAACAGGTTTAGATGACCACAAATGGAAAAAACATAGATATTTAATAGATTATTTAGATTTTGGAGTTATCAGGAACCCCTAAGTAACTATGATTAATATTTTCAAGAAATAGAGAAAAAGATGGAGAATTTTCTTAAAGAACTGGAATCTGAAAAATGCAGTGATTGAAAATTAAACATTCAATATATGGATTCATAACAGATTGGGCAAGTCAAAGGAGAGGGTCAGTGAGCTGAAAGATCAGTGCCTAGAAATATGCAGATTAAAGCTCAAAGAGGGAAGAGCCTGGAAAATGAAGAAGAATGTTTAAAAACTGGTGACATGTGCCTACATGTATATAATTTAGAGTTCTAGAAAGTGAAGAGCAAGAGAATGGGGCAGAATCAATAAAAAATTTAAACTGATGATTAAGCTACAGATACATTCTAGTCTGTACATTCCAGGAGGGTAAATATAAAGAAAAAACAAAACAAAACACACATCTGGACATACCATAATCAAACTGCTGCAAAAAAAGAGAGAGAAAAAACTTAAAATCAATTAAGCTATGTTTTATTTATTTATTATTTCATTTTATTTTTTAAGGCGGTGTCTCACGGTCGCCCGGAGTGAATGCAGTGGTGCAGTCTCAGTTCACTGCAACCTCTGCCTCCCGGGTTCAAGTGATAATTGTGTCTTCTTAGCCTCCTGAGTAGCTGGGACCACAGCTGTGTGTCATGACGCCCTGATAATTTTTGTATTTTTAGTTGAGGCAGGGTTTTACCATGTTGACCAGGCTAGTCTCAAACTCCTGACCTCAGGTGATCCACCTGCCTTGGCCTCCCAGAGTGCTGGGATTACAGACTGAGCCACCGTGCCTGGCCAGCCAGGCTCTTTTAATTTTGTTCATTTTGAGTTCCACATTTATAGAAGGTGATTGAAAAAGTAGAGAATATCCATTGGCAAGTGTCCAGAGATCATAAAAGACCAAGGGACTGGACCTGGAAACCAGAAAACCATAAAAAGGTGAGAGATATGGGAACATTAAACCAGAAACGAGTAAGTGAGACAATTACGGTAGTCTTAAAAAATTTCGAGTGTTGTCAGGATGAAAAGGCAATTTTCTTGTTCTGTGGTATCCAAAGGACAGAGTTAGGATGCAAGCTGCAAGGAAGCAATTTGTGACTCAACATAGGCAAGTTTAACAGATGAAGCTGAATGAAAATGGAACAGTGAACTTCCAATCATTGAGATTTTTAAACTGAGATTTGGAGGACGAAGCTTCACAAATGTAGAAGGTATTCTTAAATTGAATGTGAGTTTAATGAGCTCTCCTGTAAGATTCCTTGTAACTCCAAGGTTAAATAACTCTGTAATGTGCATTCTAGTGACTGATGGTTGTATTTTCATGACCACAACTCACTTAAGAAATCATTCATTTAGTCATTAACTTAGCAAGTGTTGCTGAAGACCCACTTCATGGAAGGCCCCCTCACAGGCAGTGGAGCTACCAAGAGGCATAAGACACAGTCCCTGACATTATCTTGATTGTGCACATGAGAAAGCCTATTCTGGAGAGTTTATAACTTATTCAGGTCACTATAATGTAACTTAGTATAAGAGAAGACAGGACATATATTATTAAAATGGAGCTGAATAGTGTAAAAGAATAATTCATTGCCACTAAATGGGTATTTTATTCCTTTTTACAGAGGAGATTACGTGCTGTTTGTCATGTATTGAACAAAACTGCTATAAATATAACCCTTTTCAGGACACTCAGATGATCTTAGCATACTGTAGCTTAATTCTCTAGAAGCCATACTTGGGGCCTCAATGTTCTTATCTTAAATTATCTTTCATTTCTTCAATGATCTCTACTTTCTGTTTTCAGTTGTCAATGTAATTATTCCAATTTTCTGGCATGAAGTGATCAAGTAAGCCTTTATGTAATGGCAGAAGAAAGATGTTATTAATAGTAATTTTTAAATGTATTTTCTGTGCCATTAAAGTAAAATCCTCTGCACTTATTTCCTGCCCCAAACATTTTCTCCTACTCAGTCTAATAGGTTTAACACTCCTTGATCCCATCATTTTAATAATCTAGGCTGAAGGGTTGGCTTACATTGTAGTTTGAAATGATAAGGATACAAATCTTCAAAAATATACTTTCATACTAAGTCTATTTTAAAAACTATCATCTAGTAGAAAAGATGCTTTACATTTAAAAGCACCTTTAAACTGGAGGAGGAAATAAAAGAAATACCACATACCTCAGTTCTGTTCTGTCCTTGATTTGCCCTCAAGCATTACTGAAAAGTATTGTCAGTTCCACTGCCTGAAGATCATTTTTGGAGGAAAATAAATGTTTCAACTGTTACGTTGTGTTCCCATTTGATACACCTTTCAAGTTGCAAGCTGCTGAAGTAAGAAATAGGGACATTTTGTTTCAGTGACAAACTAAGGCAAAAGCAGCTTGTAATATGATGGATAGCAAAATAAAAACAGATATCTCTGTTGTGATCGTGTGCTGAAGGCTTAATGAACCCACCCCTAGTCTAGCTATAAGCTCACATATAGGCAGGCAGACAGACCTGGAGTCACCTGGAGACTGAGCCCACCTGGGGATTAGAGCAAAGTGCAGGTGCCTTTGCTTCGTCTGTTTCCCTGAATGGTCCTTCCCTGTTGTCATCCCTCACAGTTTCATTTGAATTTATATCGAGACAACCTGAAGATTCCCTGCACCGATTACAGATATAACCTCTGAGTATTCTGAATTCCAGTCTCTTTGTCATCACTTTTTCCACTTCAAATAGCTTTTGCTAAAAGCATACTAATAGATTGAAGTAAGGGCATTCTCTAAATCACTTTAAAATTTTAAAAAATTATAATTAAAATAATAGATAATAATTCAGGATCAATATCAATTAAATTATATTTAACCTCTACTTTTTGTGTTGAAATTCTACTGTATCCCCAGAACTATTTTGGTGATTCTAATTAAGGTAGGTTCTGCCATAATAACTTTGTGTACTTACTGGGTGTTTTGTCATGTGAAACCGGAATAAGCAAGAAATACGGACTTGATTATATTTTCATTATTTTTCTTTCGTCCTTCCTGGCCTTTGCTTATTTGGCATGCCTAGATGGGGAGGACAGGCTGTTTCCTATTTCAGGAGCATGTTGTTAATGTTTGATAACTATATAAATGTACACAATACTGATGAGCCAAAGAAATTAAGCTTTGCAAAGGGCAGCTTTAATTTGTTGATTTGGAGCTTGGAAATGTGGGTTATTTTGTGATTGAATAACGTTCTTGAATGTTTAATGCATGGCCCCATTTACCTTGATTAGCTCAGCAATTCGCGACACATTATTTCCAAAGATGCTAATCAATTTTAAATCAAAATAGATTGAATTGCCTCTAAAATTGTGGAGATTACCCGAAAGTGTCAATCTCTTTGGGAAATTGAAATTCTGGCATCTTAATGAATGCAGCCTAGTTATGGAAGTACTGTATAAGAATAATGGGTTTTTGAAATACTACAAAGTAGGGATAAACTTCTGAATGTAATAGTTACTTTTTAAATTAATTTAGCACTAGAATTATTTTATCTAACTATTACATTTGAAGGAAATACCTCTGCTATTATTGCTGATTCTATTCCTTCTTGTTGTTTCAAATTATTAATATCTGAAACTTAGAAATATCACCTCACTAGTTATTAGCTACCTCATTCACTTCTTCTGGATTGTTGTAATTTTACAGTTTTAGACATTCTCCCTGGTCAGATGGTAGTGAAACTACTCAGAACTACATGTATAAAATTATTTAAAGCAGAAAGAGAAGGCAGTTTCTTTAGTGAACACTTCTAACTGAACATAGCATTTCTACTGACATTTAATAGTGTGTGTGTATATATACACATGTATGTATACACACACATATAAACATATTCTATATATTTAAATAAAACACAACATTATGTTGTTTTGATTAATCTATTTCACATGTTAACCTGCATTTCTATTGCAAGAGAAAATCATTGGCATGCTTGTATAAAAAAACTGAAATGCAAAGGGTTCTGACCATTGGTTTATATTAGTTAATGTCTTTAATTTTAGTTCAGCGGAGTATTTAAAATAAGGAGAAATAGAAAAGGAAAGGGTTTTCCTATTAGCATCATTCAGGGGCTTAATATATTAAGAACTAGAAGGACAGTTTTGACCGGGCACGGTGGCTCACGCCTGTAATCCCAGCACTTTGGGAGGCCGAGGAGGGCGGATCACGAGGTCAGAAGATGGAGACCATTCTGGCTTACACGGTGAAACCCTGTCTCTACTAAAAAATACAAAAATTAGCCAGACCTGGTGGCATGCACCTGTGGTCCCAGCTACTTGGGAGACTGAGGCAGGAGAATGGCGTGAACCAAGAAGGCGGAACTTGCAGTGAGCCAAGATGGCACCACTGCACTCCAGCCTGGGTGACAGAATGAGACTCTGTCTCAAAAAAAAAAAAAAAAAAACCGACTAGAAGGATAGTTTGTTGTTTTGTTTTGTTGTTTTGTTTTGTCCAAAAAGTAAGTATACACGTGCCCATGGACTGGGTGTGGTGGTTCACGGTTGTAATCCCAGCACTTTGGGAGACTGAGGTGGGCGGATCACCTGAGGTCAGGAGTTCGAGACCAGCCTGGCCAACATGGTGAAACCCCTTCTCTACTAAAAACATGAAAATTAGCCAGTTGTGGTGGTGAGCACGTGTTATCCCAGCTACTCAGGAGGCTGAGGCAGGAGAATCGATTGAACCCAGGAGGCAGAGGTTGTGGTGAGCTGAGATCGTGCCATTGCACTCCAGCCTGGGTGACATAGTAAGACTCTGTCTCAAAAACAAAAATAAAAAATAAATGTGCCTATGGAGATAAAAATCACAATTTTTAATAACATAAAGGTATTTTGAAGAGCATTTTGGAATTTGTATAATCCCATCTCATATTGAGCTCCTACCATTACTACCTTTGGTGCTTTGGATAAATTATTACACTCTTTGAGCCTCAATTTTTTTTTTCTTTCATAAAGTGAGCCTAATTACTACTGCTCTATAGGATTTTTTGTTTATTTGTTTGTTTGTTTTTTGGAGAGGGCAATGGCAAGGTCAGAATTTAATAAGATATATGTAAATAACTTAGCAGTGCATCACTGCACCTGGTAAATGTTCTTGTTAAAACTGCTCTTAATGCATGAGTGATGAGTCAGGGAACTTTGCAAGGTACCCTGAGGAAGACTGAAAGGAGTACATGTGATATCATCTAAAAAATAATCACCCACATCCAGATCTACTTCCTTATGCAATAATTGAATATAAAAAAATGACAGTCGTTGAACCAATGAGTAAAATGCTCTAGAAGGAGGAAGCAAGTCTTTCCTTGAAAAGACTGGGGTCAGGCAATGTGGGAAATCAATTTTAATTTCTATATATGTGTGTGCCTTCAAAGTGGAAGGTATTTTCACTAATTATTTTATCCATGACAGGTTTTGCTATCCTTGAATTTAAATCAATGACAAAATATCAATGTCTTCAATAAGCATTAGAAAAGAAATAAAATTCTCAGGTAAGTTGAAATTCATCCTGTACTGATATTGTTTGACAAGTTATTGTTCCTTAATTCTGAATGACACCATTCCTATACTTTGAGGAAGGTCAATATTAGTTTAAATCTGAATTTATCTTTAGCTCAAGGGAAATTTATTTAAGCTTTTCATGTAATGAATCTAATAGATTGGAATCATATTTCAAGGAATGGTCACTGGTTCCTTCAGTGTTCTAAAGTGTACATTCATTTCCACCATGTCAAGTGCTTAATTTAAAACACTTATTGATTCTTGATTTTTGCTTGGATGTGAGCTCATTTATTTTAATGGAATTGTTAATAAAATGTCAACTTTCTCCTGTTCTGTGTTCTGTATCTATTTTCTGACTACACTTACTTGTGATGTGTCATAGAAAAAAAATGACTAATACAATTTCTCAGGTCTTGAAAAGTACTTATACTTTAATGTCCATATTATAGATTTTTACATTAGAAAGTTCACATGGGTTCATAATATGCAGTTTTACTTATCATTGACATCAGCCTCTTCTGGGAAATTAATCTCATGAGTTGCTTGTAGTGGTATAATAGTAGCAACTGTGCTTTTGGATGATCATTTTCAGTGTTTTATGATTTTAGGCAGCATTTTTGTTGCAGATATCTGAGTGCATTGCATTTAGCTTGATTTCTGAAAGTGTGTATTTGTTGAGTCAGAAGGATAGAGTAACTTTTAAAAAGAGAGGAAAACATCATTAAAGAGAGACTAGTACATTGTGAATGCAAATCCTTAGAGAGCTCATAGTTGCTACTGAGAATAAGTGAAGTAGGTGATTTAATGATGTGATGCTTCCTAAGGAATATGGCTCAGAGGTCTGCACTTCATAATATCTGAGGTCTGGAATTAGTCTGTCTCCTAAGTCAGGTAAATAGACATGGCATTTGGCAAATAAGAAATGACTTTAAAAATACGACATTGTTCCAACGTAGTTGCCCTTGTTCTCAAGCAATGGGCTCTACTGATTTATGACCTGGCTTCATGGAGAGGAGAGAGTTTATTATCAAGAAGCATAATGACCTTCTAGTTCAGTGCACCTTATTTACCTGAAGTATTACTGAGATGGGAAAAACAGTCTTTGGACTCTTGGTTTATCACTTATTTCCAAAGAAGAGGAGAAAATAGTCCTTACTCATATGGAAATGATTATCTCACAAATTATAGCTTATTAAGGTAAGAATGCCCATATATGGTATAAACTCATATTTTTTTTTCCAAATGAAAGGATGACTCCAGAAGATTAAAACAATGTGACTTGGAAAGTAATTAGGGAGAGTAAGGAGGGATAAAATCTTTCCACTTCCCTCTGACAAATAATCAAATAAAAACTTGGGAGAATTTAACCTTTGCCATTTTTATACCTGCATTTACTCATCATTTGTAAAAGAAAACCATCAACTATTTCCACTAAGCATTACGTGTAAATTCAAACTCTCTAAGATAGAGTAGCAGTGTAATTGACCACATGAGTTATATTTTTAAGTCATATGCTGTATACAAAATTGCAATTTAAAATAATTCCATGGAGGGGAAAACAAAACAGGTGGCCTAAGACATGTGGACCTTCCATCCTATGAAGAGAACTATGGAGAAACAAAAATCAGCTGCTTAAATTAGAATGTAGGTATGCATGAAATATAAAATAGATTAAGAACTAAAAACAAAATAAAAATATTTAATTGGTAAGGTTTTCTATTTGTTTGTTTTTGTTTTGTTTTTGAGACGGAATCTTGCTCTGTCGCCCAAGCTGGAGTGCAATGGTGCGATCTCGGCTCACTGCAACCTCCGCCTCCCAGGTTTAAGCGATTCTCCCTGTCTCAGCCTCCCAAGTAGCTGGGATTACAGGCACCCACCACTACTCCTGGCTGATTTTTTTATTTTTAGTAGAGACAGAGTTTCACCATGTTGGCCAGGTTGATCTCGAACTCCTGACCTCAGGTGATCCGCCCGCCTCAGCCTCCCAAAGTGCTGGGATTTCAGGCATGAGCCACTGCGCCCAGCCTATAACTTGGTTTTTAACAACCAAGGGCATATGGCCTCCAAAAGAGGCAAAAGTTAGAAGATGAAAATAGTAAAAATTATGATAGTCTAGCACTTAGCTAATTATCTATGTCTCCTGAATGTGTGTTTGACAGCTTCTAGTGTCATCAGACTTTATATAAAGCACACTGATGCTATAGATGGCTTATGGCTCCTAAGTAGCTTTATTGTCAGATTCCTGTAAGAGGCTTAAACATGTTAGTCATCCAACTCTCTTTTTAAAAGGTTTCCCTATAAAGATATCTAATGTTACGGAATATTAGATAAGAAGAAAAAGCATAAAAGTAGGCATAAGATAACAGCATGTTTTTTGGCAAATGCTTTTTGTATATTGTTGCAAATTATGAACATATTCCTATCTGTTTCTGTGTGTGATGTGCTATGTAGATCAATAATGAAAAGGTTAATGTTTTGTTTTATTCTAAACAATTAATTAGTATCTTATAACGGTTTATACCAAGTTTTATATATTTATCAACACACATATGCATATGTAACATTAGCATACGTTTTCTTCAGAATTTATTTATCTCTATATAGGTATTTTTAAAATTGCATTTTTGTTTTCTTCTTATTAAAAAGAAATGTAGCAAATTTATTCTCCTGCAGTATCTGTGAAGCCTGGTGAACTCACTATCACCTGCCTATCCTCCACCCCCACAAATTTAGTAAGATTTTCTGCTTACAATATTCTGCTTCTAGAAATCTAGAGTACCATCAGTCAGTTGCTGTGAAAGAATTATTTCTTTGCCTGCCTTAGTAATATACATATACATGCCCAGTTAGCACACCCATACGTCTTCACTCTTCACTGCTCCAGTCACCTACAACATAAAATCTCTTTATTTCTACTACATAAACACCCCCATGACCACACACAATAAAGCATATACATTTTCCTCTCCTCATCATGGGCACTCATCACTTTAATTTTCTACACTACTGATATTTTTAAAAGAAAGAAGAATTACAAAGTGAGGAGATTTAAGACACAACATTTAAGCCACACTTTTTCTTTACATTAAAATTTTCAGCTTTCTAGTTGAAAAAATAGTTTCACAAATAGGGACAAATGAACTCACGTAATTAGGTTATTAAGCATTTTTGTCAGTTTCATGTATTTAAGTATAATCTATTCTTCATGATGTTTGAGTAATGTCAGTTCACTCAGTAGCCTTATGCACAAATATGTGGGTAACTGAAGGACAGAGGTGTCTATGCACTGCCCAAGTTCACTGAGCTAATTGCATGGGAGAATCTAAGAGTACATTGCCTCTATCTTTCTGGAATAGACTAATGTTATACTGAGTCATTTAACATCATGTTTTGCATTTAATATAAATTTACATATATGTGATTTTTTTCAAATCTTATCTGAGTTGCATATTACTTTTTTAAATGAAGATTAAAGATAGTATTTTTGAAAGTTATAACTTTCTAAATATTTTGCTCTAAATATCCTGTTTTCTTCTGCCATTTTGCACTTTTGTGACGAGTGTTCACATGATGGCATGCTAATATCTCTGCATTAACTTTTACTGAAGGATATATTTTAACATCATAATTTTCTTTCGGAGCTCTGGGATGTTTTAAGCTTGACTTCTCTTTATTTTAGTCATCAAAAGACTCCCACATTGAGAGTTAAACTATAAAAGTCAGCTGAAAGCATTTTTTGCAGGCATGATATTTTCCTTGCACTAATTTTAAAAATTCAATCGAAGATTCATTTTATCTGACTGGTATTTTCAGTCTAAAAGGAGGACAAATAATCATATGTGAAAATATTTATTGACATATATAAACTATTTGTTAATAATACAACTATCCTGAATCTCAATCTGTGATTCCTTCCAATTGTTTCTTCTGATTGTTTCTCTAATGAATGTATCTATAGTGCATGGGGCAATTTTTTTATTATTAAGAAGTGTCCACTTTTTTTGTTCTTATGGGCAACAGTATATTTTCTAATCATTTTCTAGTTTACTCTTGAATTCGAAATCTTTCAGTTACGTGTGGTAGAAAACTTAACCAAAATGGGCTTTAAAAAATTAAAAGATCGTAATTTTGCTTGTGTATCTGCAAAATAAGATTTCTCTAACTTGATATACAGTTTGATCTAAAGGTTCCTGATGTCATCTTTGAAGTTTGGCTTTGCTTATGTGCACTGCTTCAGCTATGCACGACCCTATGAACAGGAACCGTGTCCAGGTCAGCTTCCCACATGGCAGCTGAAGATCACAGGAAGATTTCTTCTGGTATTTCCCCTTAAAAAGATGGTGAGATTACTCTCCAACAAAACCCAACAAATACCTTCTTATGGCTCGTTGGCTTCATCTGAGATATTCATCCCTGAATGAAACTCTGTACTCAAGAATATATTCAAGTCTATTGCTCAGGAGTAATTTAGTTCCTGGTTTAAACATGTGTCCCTTTGAATCTAAGGCTCCACAGGCTAAGAATGAGTTCAAAGGAATTTGGCAGAGGAATATCTGGGTGCTACTGGTGAATTAAATGGGAATTAGATGCTGAGAAGGTGACTAAATGTCTGCTACAGGTCATTTGTAAAAGACCATTTTACAACACTTCCTATGAAAAATGATCACTGATTTGTTTTTAATTTCCTGTAAACTCACGGTTTTACTTGGTAAAATTTAATGCAGATGAAGGATATGGTTCCAGGATAGGTACTATAAAGGACTGATGAATATGCAAAGAGGGGACATAAGCATCACCTACAAGTCAGGTCTTATTTCCAGAAAACTATGCATAAACGGACTTTGTGCCTAAGAAAATGTACTAAGTCTTTGAACTGGAGCTAATGATTGAACTATGGTTACTTTCCACTGGCTCTAGAAATAAAGAGTCTCATTCTCTTTGATTTAATTTCCTGACAATGGAATGCAGGCAGTCTTCAACTTAATAACTGATTATGATTCAAAAATGTATTTGGTGTTTCAGAATTTGAAATACACAGGTAGATGTTGGTTCTGTCCTATTTGCAGATGAGAAAACTGAGGTGCAGAAAACTCAGTAAATTTGACCAGGGCCACACAGATAGTAAGTGACAGAAATGGCATTTATACCTGTACAGTCTGTGTTCTTAATCGCTGCATATAGTGTCCTTCAAAGTTGGGCCTTTTTTTATTCCTAAAACTATCTTGTGGTACCTGCTAACTTAGGTTTCTAGACTTGCACAACATGGCTTATTTATCTTTTTGTACTGCTGAGCATATTATTCTGAGAGTTAAAACTAACTCCCTC